TCCCCACCCGCCTCGGGAAATCGCTGTTCCTCAGATCCAGCCTACCTGCCCCACTGCAACTTGAGCCCGTTGCTCCTTGTTCTGCCTCTCCAGCCCCTTTGGAGCCCCCCACCCTGCAGGGAGTTGAAGGCTGCTCTCAAATCCCCCCTCACCCGTCTCTTAAACAAGCCCAAGTCCCTCAGCCTCTCATAGGTCATGTGCTCCAGCCCCCTCAGCATTTTGGTCGCCCTCCGCTGGACCCTCTCCAATGCGCCCACGTCCTTTCTGTACTGGGGGGCCCAGAACTGGACACAATACTCCAGCTGTGGCCTCGCCAGAGCCAAATAAAGGGGAATAATCACATCTCTGGATCTGCTGGCAATGCTCCTCCTAATGCACCTAATATGCCGTTAGCCGCCTTGGCTACAAGGGCCCCTGTTGACTCATGTCCAGCGACTACCCACTGGAATCCAGGCCCTTTTCTGCCGAGCTGCTACTTAGCCCGTCGGTCCCCAGCCTGTAACTATGCCTGGGATTCTTCCGCCCCAAGGGCAGGACTCTACACTTTTCCTTGTTGAACCTCATCAGATTTCTTTTAGCCCAATCCTCTAATCTGTCCAGGTCACTCTGGACCCTCTCCCTGCTTCCTGTGTATCTACCTCTCCCCCTAGCTTAGTGTCATCCACAAACTTGCTGAGGGTGCAATCCATCCCCTCATCCAGGTCACTAATAAAGCTGTTGAACAAAACCAGCCCTAGACCTGAGCCACGGGGCACTGCGCTAGAAACCGACTGCCAACCTGACATGGCGCCGTTGCTCGCTCCCCGTTGGGCCCGACAGTCTCGCCAGCTTTCTATCCACCTCACCGTCCAGTTATCCGAGCCATACGCCCTTAACTTGCTGGCACGAATCCTGTGGGAGACGGTAACAGAAGCTTTGCTGAAGTCGAGGGCTAGCACATCCACCGACTTCCCGTGGCCGCAGAGCCAGTTTCCTCGTCCCAGAAGGCAATTGGGTTGGTCGGGCAGGACGTGCCCTTGGTGAATCCATGTTGACTCTTCCTGATCCCTTTCCCCTCTTCCAAGAGCTCCGAATGGATTCCTCGAGGATCCCCGCCAGGATTTTGCCGGGGACTGAGGTGCGGCTGACCGGTCTGTAGTTCCCTGGATCGTCCATCTAAACCCTGAGCCGGCCCCTGGCCGAGACGGCAAACCCTCGGCTCTGGAGGGGGTCAAATTCTTTCTAAGCCTTTAGTACCACGGCTGACAAACGGGGGCGCCAGGCCTGAGGGGGGTGCCAGAGACATTCACCCCCACTGGGCCAGTCCCAGGCATCGAACCCGGCCGCTGCCAGCAGGGAACACGGTGCAGCCGGGGGCCAGGCACGGAGCCGGGGGTGCGGTTTACCCTTTGCAAATCGTGTCCGTATTTGGGTGCTGCGGCTGAGCCGGGCCGCAGTGGAGCTGGGGATTTCACACCCCAGGAGGCCCAGCCGCCTCGAGGCAAGGTCTCGGTTCATTGTCCCGGAGGGCGCTGTCAGGCCCACAGCTTTCTGGGCTATTTGTCCCCCTCCCCAGACTCCCCCCACAGCTCAGCCACTCCTGCCAGAGTTACAGCAAAGCACCCAACACCCCTTGCCGGCTGTCCTCCCCCCTCCCCCCACCTACAGCCGCCAGCCCTGGAGAAACAAGCGCAGCACCCACCAGCAGTTTTCTGACATTTATTGAGAGCCGATGGCAGTAAATGCAGCCAGTCAAGCCTACCCCTGCCACATGCCTGACAAACGGTTACAGCTGGAGTCAGTCCGTGGCAGGAGACCAGAAGGACAGATACACACACTGTACAACCCGGTGCTTTAGGAATGGTCTGAACCACTGAATTTGTGTCTGGTTGGTGGGACGTCCCACCAATAAAAATAACATTTGTCTCTTTTACAGTCAAGGGTTATAAGGTTGGTTTTTTTTTTTCCTTTAAATATTTGTTGCCAGACTTTTTATAGGAGCAAACGTCTTCAAAGCACCACGAGCCATTTAATATTCATAATAATATAGGTGGAACTGAAGCACAGAAGAGAAGGGAAAAGCACCAAGATGCATAGCTCGGACAGACCAGGAATACAATACCGATTCCATAACGTAATCATAAAAAATATAGAGATATGTATATATCCGTCATGTAGAACTTTATGGATCGTTTTAAGATACATTTTTTTTTCTTTACAACAGATAGTTTTAGGCGATTTGTTTTGTTTTTTTCCTTAAAGAAATTTCAAAGTTGTGCCACACACAGCTGGATCTGCAAACACAATGGGGAAAGAGCGAGAGAGACCAGTTTGTACTTTTCAGAAAAAGAATATCACATTGACACATCGTTTTGAAACCACAAGCAAAATGCATTCATCAGAATTCAAGCGATAAACCAGACGCCAAATCCTGTTTATACATGAATATACAGCTGTGTGTTCTCGAGAATACGCACACACACACACATTCACACACATTTTTAAAAAAAGAAAAAACAACAACCCTGAAGACGAAACGTAAAACAACCTCCAGATCAGAATTAACAAAAACCTTCATGAAACAAGGCACATCCTTTGAGTTTCTTAGACTGTGGAAAAGAAAGGAAGAACACTGAAGTCCAACAGAAAAACAAACCGAAAGCTGTTTGCACAGACTTTCTAACGCGCTAAAAGGTATCTTATGCTTGTGCTACTCTTAATATGATCTTGCCACAGACAGAGCGTAGTGTAATCTAACAGGTTTTCTCAAGCTAAAACCCAGTCCTCTTGATTTTTTTTGTAAAACTTTTTCTTATATAATTGATACTATTTTTAATATTTTAAATATATATTTGTTAAAGTTTATTCCTTGTTTTAATTTCTGGGGGAAAAATATCTGTCTTAACTCTTTTTTCCCAATAAATTAATACTTCTTTATATAGCTTATTATTTCTTCATCCCTTATTACCCTCCACAGAAAGAGTTTTGTTCCCCAACCAGGAACGTTCATAACACTTCCCCGCCGCAGGGCCTTGTGCTGGCCTGGCTTTTTTGCTCTGCTTGCTTCTGCACAGACCCTCTTCTACAGCCAGCGCAGCGCAGGTAAGACCGCTGCTGGCGCACACAGCGCGGGCCTCTGCACGGGGCCAGGAGCGAAGGACCAAACCCGGGAGCTGCCCTGAACACCTCGAGCCCCATTTTGGGTCCCCTTGGTCATTGGTTTGACAAGGAAGCAGAGCTCCTGGGCCCTGGCAGGGAAATCGCTGGCACTTGCTAGAAGCCCAGTCCAGCCCCCACCCTGGGCCCAGGCCTGAGCGGAACAGCTACCTGGGGGGGCTGCATGACTGGAGGCCAGAGCCCTTGCAGATGAAAAATGCGGGTCGGGGGGGAGGGGGGGTAGGAAAGCCCCGGCGACGGCAGCTGCTTGGCCTTGCCCCGCGGGCGGGAGCCCCACAACGCTGGCCCCAGCGGTTAGCGTGGCACCCCCTTCTTGCTCAGCTACGGCGGGGGCAGGGCGCCAGGCTGCCCCACGGCGTTAGACACCGAGGAGCAAGTAGGGATTTCTCAGCCAGCCCCGTGGAGACCGGACGAGGGAGGCCTTGTCGGGGGGCCCAGGGGCTGGGCCCAGGCGGGGGGGCAGGGGCCACGAA